ATCCACTTTTCAAGAGTTGGAAAATAAAATCTAAAATTTCTTGGAATTTCCAGCCATTCAAGGCCTGGAAATATAATTTCCTAGATTATACAGAGTTTATTAACATATATGACATTGTGTCTGGCAAGTCAAAGCACAGTGGGATGCTTTAAACCATCAATAAGTTACTAAACTTGGGCAGAAGAGTTGTCACTTTTTAGCAGATACTTGTAATTATTTCTTTATCTCTGATTCACTAAATCTTACTGCTCCATGGACAGAGCCAGCTCCATCTATTCCTCTCTCTCTCCAGTTATGGGAACATCAGGATGCATGAGAGGTTCATCATCTACTTTGCTGGAAGCTTTATAAAGAGGAATATTAGATATGATAGAGATATTAAACCAATAGTGGGTGTATTGCAGCCCATCCTCCCTTGGCAGCCAAAGGCTGCTTTCTACTCCATTCATTTCAGTTCACAGGAAAAAGAAATCTTTTCATTTAAATGACATTTTGGTGATAGAATGTCACCAGTGCAACTTGCTACTGTAATATCTTATCATTCAAATTACTATGTAAAGCAGTACACGTCATCAGTAAAATACCAATTACAAAACCCTTTCTTCAGGAATCTCAGAGTCGTAGCCAAATGCAACAATGCATCTTACTGCAGATACACAAAGAAGATAAACATTGGATTATTTTTCATCTCCACTTGCTGTTTATTACTAAAATAGGTAATTTTATTGATCACACTGCTGGCTGACTGCTTTTGATGCAGCCCGGACTTGTGTGGCCCATTAACAGAAGATATCTCCCTGGGAGGAGGATGGGTTGTGGAAGAGATCAAGAAATCTGCCCAATTAACAAAAGATAACTGCCCCACCTCTAACAGATAGGAATAGAATACCCCTATTTCCAACCTAAGACAACTGTGCAAAGGTCCCTTAACTGCTTTTATGTAAGAGTTACAACTAGAGGTGGGTATTTATACCTTCACCTGCTGAGAGGTACAGGACTAAGTTTTGTTGTACTGCTGGATGCAGCTAATGAGAAGGGCTGTTCTGGTTCTCTGACTGCAGGTATTTTTCATGTTCACATGTTTGCCAGCTAAAATGATGAGTGCATAACTCACTTTATTTTGACTTACTGTTTGTTTTTTTGGGGTTTTTTTTGTTTTTTGGGTTTTTTTTTGGTTTTTGGTTTTTTTTAAGTCTAGCCATTTGAGAGTTTGCTACTTTAGGAAGTGTTGGGCTATTTTCTATTTTAAAAATCAGTTTCAACTCTCTTACAATGTATTTTATCATGTATTATGAGAACATACATAAAATATTGTGAGTAGAACAGTTTTCATTAGAGGTATTAGATTTATATTCCTTCTTGGTTTCACAGAGTTGAAACCTACCATTTTTCAGACCATGAAAATGTGAAAATTCTATTTTCTGAGGCTGTTCAGAGAAGAGGTGATTTAAACTTGGTGCATTGAGTGCAGGCTGTTACTGTTTGAAACAGGGTCTTAACACTAAGAAGAAAATTAATGTTTAAAAAGATCAGATTGTATTATATTATGATACCCTTGTAACTAATGATACTTAAAATTTTGTTTGTATTTTTAATATACTTTACAGCATTTGAAAAGAGAAGAGGATTTGAGTAAATCTATAAATTCTTCTCAGTAGTCTCTTGAGTGCTGAATCAAATTGCTACTTAACTTTTTCTTGGGTAGTAGAATATAAGCCTTTTTTCAATTATGCCTTTTTGCTTCTACTCCCCTTTTTCCACTGACTGTAATTTTCATTATCAGTAGTAGAGTAGGGAGTATTTTCTCCTGAAGTGAGTTGTGCAAATGCTAATTTCAGATGCTGTTCTGAGATTTTCCTATAAGGTTTTTCCAGTCTTCCCTTTTGTGGAGAGGTAAATACTTACTAATTTGCAAATCAGTTTTTTTGGTATTTAATTGAACTTTTTAAAAAATTTTTACTTTTCAGCTTTTTTAGTATTCTTTTTTAACTCTAAACAGTATCAAAACTCCTTAAAATCATTAATAAACATTCTCAGTGCCACTGCAACTTAAAAATGTGTATTTCTGTTCTTTTATCTAGCATCCAAGATGTATCATTGTAGGGCCAGAGCAAATCCTAGTCACTGGAAGACTCACTGTTCTTTCCCTTGACACAAAGTACAGAGGTTTAGTTGGGTTTTTTTTATGTTTTGGAAAGTTGTTTTATTAAGAAATACCTGAGATAAAGGTAGCCTGGCATAAAAACCTGGCTAGGAAATGGCTATCAGTTTGAATATTTGTAATAGTTGCCCATTGTGTATTTCTCAGTTCACTGTAGGCTTTTTCTTCTGAATGGTGGTGGCAGTCACTATGGGACAAAAAGGCTTCTACACAGGAAAAGTTTGGTTGGTTTGTTTTTATAGAAGCACTAATAGACCTAAAAAGTGCGTGAATGCTGACTCTAGTGAAAAATTACACTGCATTTGGGGAGGGCATCCTGAGTTCTTGTCTCTGGATTTATACAGAACTGCTCTTGGAGCACCATCCTCACCACACATAGAGCAGAATATGTGAATTTGGACACCCTGAGACTCACAACTTCTGATCTTAACAGGGTCTAGGTGGGAGGTGGGTGTTTCATCTCTCAAAGTGCCTGTCCAAGAAATATTTTCAACCATTGAAGTTGTAGGTTCTGGGTATCTGAAGGTTAAAGAAGAGAAAATTGCTCAGTGAGTTTATTGCACTTCAAAGATGTGAAAGGAGCTATTTTGAGTCTGATACCTAAAGATGTGGTGTCTGGGTACAATACATTGTATTAGACTTTAAAAACATGCTGGTATGTTACTTACTCAAATACTTCACCTGTAGGATTATAAGATAATTTTCATACAGATTGGCACAAATAAAAGAACATTATCCAGAAAATGCTTTCTGTTCATTAAAGGTACATTGTGCTTTTTTACTTTGTTTTCCAACCATTCCACTTGAACCATTCACACTGTATTGACCTGTTCTGAGCCTTGAGGGAGACTGTTAAAGTCTGTAACATCAACCCACAGTGGTGTCAAATATTAACAAGTGTTCTCTGCCCTGCCGATGCTGAATGTTGATCCACCTCAGGCATCAAGAAACTGAGAGAGCTAATTTGTAATTGTTGCCATTCCTGTTCTCTCAGATGGTTGGATAAGCAGGCTGAAATGTCAGTCCTCTAGCTATTTGACTTTATATAGGCACTCCCATCACCCTCATCTTCGCAGTAGCAGGATCCTACCCAGTAGCATACTAATCAATGTGACTAACATCTGTCTCCTGGGGTGCATTGTTTCTCTCATCCTGTCCCCCAAAGCAAGATTGTGTATTTAGCTATACAGTGTTAAATATATCACTGTCATCTGCAGGGATGTTTTTAGCTGTATTTTTCGCTATGACTTCATACTAATGCAGACAAGTGAAAACGGTGCACTACCACCCAAAAGGGAAGATTATGGGGTTTGTGTGGACTTCAGGTTCTGGGAGAGGCCATTCCCAGTTAGAAAATGGACACTCCCTGCTGCCCGGAAAGGCATTGCCTTGCTACATGGTGACAGTGAAGTCACCATGCAGAGTCTTTTCCTTCCTTCAGGACTTAGAGCACCACAGGGATGAAACCTCCCACCTGGAATCCACACTTACCCTCGCTGCTGGGTGGCCCATTTGAACAGGCAAATTTAATATGCTTGACCTAAGGAAATGACTGAATGCTTCCTCCATAGAATATTTTCTTGAATTTAGGAATGCCAGTGAAGTCTTATTTTATACCACTGGGGAGTTTAATTAGCAGAAATAATGAAGTACCAAGCTAACTGTATTTTGAGTAGTTATGATAGTGTACTAGAGTGATTGTTTATTGGACTGGTGTTATTTTGGAGCGGCCTCATGCTGTCCCTTCTCTCCCAACTTGACTAAATTTTGCATAGCTTGTGGGAGGAAAAATTTGCCTTTTGCTGTAATTAATATCAAGTCAAAGTTTTTAAAGTCCACTATTTTCTTTATCATTTCCCTTAACAGCAGAGTTTTTTTTAGACAATGAAATGTTTCATTGCAATTTAACTACAAATACTGGCTCCCAAAAATCACAGAGAAATATTAAAAAAAGGAGTTTCCATATATAATTTCTTACCTACTCTGTTGTCCTGTCATATGAAAAGAGCATATCAAAAGTCATCCCTTGGATTATTTGTTTGGTTGGGTTTTGTTTGTTTGTTTGTTTATTGTGTGGTTCCTGAGTTTGGAGACAGCTACAGTGCATCACAGTTGCCCGTGACTCTCTCAGTGGAAAATTCAGGCATTAGATGAGCTGAACCACCTTCTGAAGTCACTTGTGTCTCTCTGTCTTAGGTGGACTGAGCATATGTCTGAGCTCTTCAATGAGAACCTTAAGTTAGATGTGAGGAACCTGTACTAAAGTGTTGGTTAATTTGTCACAGAAAAGAGTAAGATGCTCATTGAAAGAAAACAAAGGGCTCACTCTGCATTATTTTTTAAAGTCATATGCCATTATTGTTTCTCATAGGTTGCTATGTTTTGTTTTGTTGTTCTGCATTTTTTAATAGACTGAATATTAAGATTTTATCACAACACCATTCTTAATGTAGAACAGTCAATATCTTTGAGCTATCATTTGTTCATTTCACCTATAGGTATTTATAGAACCATTTGTGTAACAAACTGCTCTGAAATTGTTGGTTTTATTATTCATTCATCGGTATTCCACACAGATCCCACTGAAGCCCTGTGGTTTGGACAATGCACCACAGTTTATCAGTGAACAAGCTGAGTTCTTAAATGAGTGACTGATTTCTTTATTCTTGCAATGTACAGGTTGCTCTTCACGATTCACAATTCTCTTCAGTCAGCTGCGTGTTTCACATTATCATGGGCAAACATGACACGCACATGTTGATGCAATTTATTTTTACAGCTTGATAACATGCTTTGATTTATCACTCTTCTAAGCTGTGGTGTTCTGTTTTTTCCTTAGGGATACGATGATGGATATGGGGGTGAATATGATGATCCAAGCTATGAGGCATATGATAACAGTTATGCCACCCAAACACAAAGGTAAGCATTTGTGGTTTTGCATCATTTCTCCAAAGTACACTTTTTTATCTTAGTTTTTAATGTAAATTTCCTGGTTTATTTTCCACATTAAATTTTAGAAAATCTCTGAGTACTTTAGAAGTAAAAAGTAATTATGACAGTCCAAATTTATATACAGAGATGAAGTAAAAATGTAAGGAGCTATGCTTTTAAAATTGATGCAAATTATGTCTATTTTTTTGACAAGTGATTATATCATTTTCTTATTTGATGTTATTTGTCCCTTTTTTTTTATCTTTTACTGATGATAAGTTGTGAGGGGTATCTCATACTTATGGCTTTTACAATGTTTTGAGAGAAACCAGAAGGAAATTTAAAAAATATTTGTGATGGTGGCCTGTTTCTGGTTGGCATCCACAATCAAGGTAGACTATAGAAGGAAATTACATGCTAGAAGTAAGGCTGAAACTATTTGTTTTCAACCAGTTATTTTCTAAGCAGTTCTCAGAATTTATATGTTTGGAAAATTATTTTTGCCCTTGTGATGTGGAATAGTAGGAAAAAGCTGCATTCACATCTTACATTGATTTGTGTGAATTATCCCTTTTTTATATACATACACCTCACACCTCCATTAATTTGACAGTCAGTGCATGTTTATTAAATATAGAATAGCATCTTTTTCACATTTAAGCTAAAGGAAAACAGGGGTTTTCTACCAGTTATTCAGCAAGTGGTGTTATGCATTACTGAAAGTGCTTGTAAGGTTGTGGAAAGGCAAGTGAAATTTTAACAAGAAAAGACACAGATTTTAACTAAGTTAGTGTGTTTCTCACTGAGCAAAAAAGTGATGTATACATGCTGAGTACTATGCTCCGAAGGCCAGAGGACCTTAAACTTGCTTTTTTGTTTAGCCATCTTTTTCACTGAATGCTTTGCTGATGTAAATGCCTTTCAGAATTACATTCAGCTCCAGAACTGCTGTAGTGAGGTATACTTCAGTGGATAAAAAATATCTTATAAGTATTTTTATACCCAGTGAAGTATATTTAAAAGGATTTGTCACACCTAAACATGAACCCCATCAAGTATACTTTAACACTTTCAAGTAATTATACCTTAGTAGCTGCACCCATCATGTCATTGTGTAGGTAGGCATTCTTGTTGTCAAATGTACTTCAACTTTTTTTAAAACAATTCAATTCCTTTTTTGCTGCAAGAGTAAATTGTCACAATTGCGAATTGCTTCTGATGTTAAAAACAATAATTAATTGGAAATATCTTGATATGGCATTGCTTTATAACATCTGAATTAACAAGTAATTTCTTTGCAAGTTGATGTCCCAGGCAACTAAATGACAAATATATCAACTTTATGAGGAGTGTATTATAATGCAGCCAGAACTAGTAGTGATAATTTGGTACCAGAGAGAAAATTTATAGTCACATAATTTAGTCAATTAAACAGCTATTAGGTCTAGTCATCAAATATGTTTTCTATTAATTGGAGCTACCTCCAGGATACCTAATCTGTTTAAAATCTGCAACTAAAATATTTCCTTTTGAAATATATGACAAGACATGTGGTCATACTTACCCATGTTGAGTGGCACTTAATGCCTCAAGTAGCGTATTGATTTCAAAGAGAGCACTTTCAGAGAGAGCTACATGCTTCTTATTTCAAAGATTTAAAGAACAAATGGGCCATTAAATACAGAATTTGTATTTCTGCACCTTATTGGCCATTTAGCTTCATAGAAATGCCTGCTTACTGGGCAAAAAATAAAAATAATACAATACAATGAAAATAGTGTGCCCAAAATATTTGGTTAGATGTGTTTTTCAAAAGGTTTTTTCCAAGTCTCAGATCTTGCTTATTAGTGTAGTCCAGTCATAAGAGTCAAACCATGTGCACACCTAACAAAGAAGGTAAGTAGTACTGCTCCAAAGTACTTACTCATCCAGTGTGTAATTTAAGGGGAAAAAATTACCAAAAACTTGCCAACAATGTCTACGCTCAGCCAGGAAATTATCATTGCTTCCCTCTGCAGGGATTGACTGAAATTCTAAAGCATGAGATGAGAAGCAATTGTAGTTAGTGGCTTAATGCAGGGTACCAAGATTCCTGTTCATGTTAAGGGCAGAGTTTCCCATTGCTTTTTATGGCTTGGGACTCAATGTGAAAATCCTTAAAGTGGAACATTCTTTTGTCTGACTATGTCTTGCTATGCATGTTGGCCAAGTTTTATTCTCTTCATTGCTTCAAAAAGAACATGTTGGAGTGGATGGTCTGAGCACAGGCGGACTTTGATGTGCTTTAGAGCAGAGCTCATAGTAAGTCATGCTTTGTTCCCCTGCTCACCCCACGCATGGAGTGAAGATAGAGTTTGGGCAGCCTGCCACCACACCCCTGTTACCCCTGCCTTTGTCCTCCATACCTTGTATCTACTTCCCATTTGCCAGAGTCTTTCTGGCCATATACACTTTGTTTAGGGGGCCTGAGTCCTTTGTTGTCCAAGAGGTCTGATTTAGAATTTTGCAAACTAAGCTCTGACTACAGCAAAGAAAATGAGCACAGTATCAACATGCATAGTGCTGCAACGTAAGATTATGGTTTAATATGAAGAGCACCACAATTACCAATCCCCAAGACCATTCAGATGCTGTACTTCAGTGCACAATTATCTAAAAATTTGTACTAAAAGTCAGGGATGGTGTTGCAGGTCCAACAATAGACTTGGTATAGGTCCTTCTCTAATGGACTTCTCTAATGAACTTCTCCAGACAGAAAGCTCTGTCTGTCCTTCATGACAGCAGTCTGATTTGTAGGCTGAAACTAGGGGGATGGGGTCACCTGAGGAAGAGGTCATGACAGAGTCTCAGAGTCAGGCTGGAATGAAACCCACAGTAAGTCTGCCTGCCGGAACAAACTAAGAGGTGTCTCAAGCACACTTTGAAATGGAGCAAAGAAGCAACTTGAAGAAAGAGAAAAACAGGACTCTCACAATGGTAAGTGCCACCTGTACCTTATTAAGATGGGGAGGCTTATTTTAGAAATAAGAGAATTGTGGGTTATGACAGTCTATATTGCATGGAGGTATGTCTTGCTTTAAATAGCAGAAGATGTATTTGTAAAGCCATTTTCCCTCCTTATGTTCCTGTCCCATAATGACAACTCAGAACCAAGATCAAACCTCAGGACAGATTTAAATGAACTCTCTGTCCTTCCCGGCTGAGTCTGTAAGCATTATTTAAGGATTCTGTGAAAGGCTACACATTTTCTGAGGACATTTAGAAACCCTACTCATTTTAGGAACTTCTTCATACAGATGTCAAGATATAGTTTTTAAGGTAAATGCAATGAATGCAAAAAGAACAAGGAAACAACCATATCAGTGGGCAGGAAAAGACACCATATCTGACATACTTCCCATGGGCAATAATGCCCAATAATTGAATTTCTCGATGACCTTGTTTTCCTCTCTCTTCCATATAATGTGAAGGTGGATCTCATTGATGAGAACATCCGCCTGTCCAGACACACCAAGAGATATTCAGTGGTTTTTAAGTTCATACACTATTCTCTGTGTACTTGAAAGGAAGGCAGAGGACACTCAAAACCTTTCTGCCAACTAGATTTACCTCCCAAACCTCTAGTCTGGCAACTTTATTTAAAAAAATATAGACACAATATACAAAATGGTAGAAGTGTTAATTTCCAACTCAGCTGTTACACAGAAAATGTAGGAGAATCCTATTAGCTTTCAAAATGTAATGCAGTTTTTGATTTTCTAATGCAGGAACTTTTAAGTGTGTTGATCTATCACCACTGTCCAGGACTCATGGGCTGAGATCGCTAGATCACCAGAAGAAAAGGATGCAAAGTTTTGTGAGGAGATGTAGAAGATCAGCCTCTTTGGTTACTCAGAGGTTGTTTGGGATCAGACTGTCCCACATGCAAAGTGTGGCCAGACTTCTCAGCCAAGACCAACAGAATAATCTGGTGAAAATGGATCGTTTGGTGATGAATCATGATGGCCAACAGAGCCATCTTCCGCTCTGCTACCACATCTGCAGTCATCTTCACTGGCCTTTGTGTCTGCCAGCACCAACAGTTTCATTTCAAAGATACCATGTCTCACAGCCAGAAAAGATACCAAGGAAGCCAGGGACTGACTGTCCAGTCATGGGATGAACGGGAAGGGTATATTCTCTTTAATTCACTTGTGCCCAACTTACCCAGCATACGTAGTGTAAACAGTGGTGCCTAACAGGGAGGAGCAAAGGAAGCCAAGGATTAACTGATGAAGCTTAAAATTTGAGTTTGATATTATTTCCCTGTTCCATAATGCCTGGCATGAGCAGTCATCCATTAATCCATTCTGGTTTTTGTGAGCAGGTAGATAGTATATTGGCAATGGCTTTCAGGTCTGCTTGCCTGGCTTTTTATTCTGCCTTTTTTCTGTATAGCTTTTGTTAAAAACATAGTTCAGCAGCAAAATGAGTTGCCAGTGTGTGCTGTCTAAAGAAAGACGAGCTCATGACTCCCACCTTAGGCTGTAAATAGACTTGTAAATATCAGAAAACCCATAACTTACTGACAAGAAGAATAAATAATTCAGTGATAAAAGACAGATGAAAATAGTGCACAATGTTGCTGTTACAGATTCCATCCCACAGCAGTACAAGCCCTGTGATGGCATGTTGTCATCCTTGCTGTGACTGCAAGATGACATAGGTAAAAAGCATTTCTCATGCCTGTCTGCACCCAGCCTCACTAATAATAATAACAGTAACACAATTTTAGGACCTTGAAGCATTTCTTGGCAAAATATTTACTGTTAATCTTGCAAATAAATTATGTAATGCTTTAGGCAGCAGTCCTCTGGGCAGACATTTCATGCTGGTATGCCGATCATTTTGGCCAAAGAACTTCTTTTTGGTCTGTCAGACTCACACATCAAACCCATCCTGCATCTGCTGAGGAAATAAACAAACTTCTGTTTCTGATTGGAATTGCA